GACAATGAGTATATCTTCAAGAATCAACCAATTTGAAAATATATAGTTGCGAAAACATGATGCGAAAAAGGTTTCTGTCAAACGACAATTGTATTTGCAGTTGTGCAATTTGGGTTGCAGATATTTCCAACTGTCGACATGGAAAGTATAAGAACTACTTATTTGTCGGACTATAAGACGCACCTTTTTACATAGAAAAATGTACTCAAATTTTACATCTTTTGTTCCGAAGGGAACATTAAAATATTTTTTTCAATAAATCGTCTCTACATTTGAGGTGCGTCTTATAGTCCGAAAATTAGGTGTACTGATAAAAAGTAGAATTCCACTAAATCTACCACCGAAACACATTTGGTTGCATACTAACCTATCCGAAGTTACTCCGACTCCTCTCGTTACCATACCAGAGCCGCAGGAACCCAGACTCGACTTGTCTCATCTGCAGAACCCGTCAAAATAAAAGTAGATTAACTTGCGGATGGTAAAATTGAGACTGTTGGACACAGTCTAAGCAAAAATCCTTAGTAGAAGAAAACATTAGAAATGTCCACGAAACCTTATAGAAGCTTTGCCTATGTGAATTATAATTTTTGCTATTTGCACAGAAAATATTTTAATACAATATGTAAAGAATGATGTTAAGTTAGCATTTTAAAATTGATTTATAAATGGTGTAATTTTCGTCATCTAAAGAAAGTTACAATTCATGGTATGCAACCCAAATATATCTCATTAGAAATCACTAATTCTCAAGTATAAAATATTAGAAATAAAATAATCATTTCGTAAAGGAAAAAAAAATGGATATAAATTAATCTACAGAATATAGGAAAATAATAAATAATTTTCTTTTTCATGGAGTGCCATCTGGTAAGTTCAGATGAAATGATGGTGACAGAAGCCAAGTGATTAATCCCCGATTATTATTGTCATTGATATATTTATCAACAGAATAGTATTATTGCATTGTTAAGTAAAATAAGTGTAAAATGTCTAGTTTATTGGAAAACCTTAATATTCCGACGTGTATTTGGTTCGAAGGAGGAGATAAACGAAATGCTTTAGCTTCGATATTCGCTGGTTTCTTGGTAATGATTTGATGTATTAACATAAATAAAAATTACTCACAGCAATTGTTGCTTTTTTCGTAGTTTTTCACAGGATGGTGGATTTTAATTGATGCTGCAAGTGTGCATTCTGGCTCTGTACTTGCTGGATATCACATGTGCGGTGTCTTTGGAACACTGTCTTTGATTATGGTAAATTCAGTTTCCAATGCCCAGGTAATCATTGCATTCAATAATTTCAATAACAAACAGTGCGAAATGATTTGATTTCGATTGCAGATTCGTGGTGATGCTTTTGAAGGTGGTTGCATGGGACCCAGGGGTTCCAGAATTTGGCTGTTCCTAGGTTTTGTCATGGGTTTTGCTTCTGTCATTGCCTCCTGCTGGATTTTATTTGCTGACTTTGTTGCAATTGGTAAAGTATACATTAATTATATTTATTTGATTACATTGATTTGCTTTTTCCTTTCAGAACACACTGTCCAATGGCCAGGTGTAGCCTTGTTCATACAAAATGCCTTTATATTCATATCATCATTGATCTACAAGTTTGGAAGGTCTGAAGACTTATGGGGATAATAGTTGAATCTCTTCAATTCACACATTAATTATTCTTTCTCATTGTGTACAAAAGAAAAATGTAATAGTTTAGGTACAAGCCCAGTACACTTTCCACTAACTTATGAGATTTGCAAAAAAAAAGAAAAAAACATAATTTTAACAACGAAAAAGTGATTCTGTTATAAATTATTATTTTAATAAAATCAACATAAAGAGGGCTTTTTATGGAATAACTTGAATAATTGCAACATGCATAATTATACTCGGGCCAAGTGGCTGAAGTTGTTGGCCGTTTTGGTCAATAATTTGTATCTGTTAGTCTAAAAGAAAATATACACATATATATATTATAATATTCATTATTTATTGCATAAAAAAGTAACAGTACAATCTTTGTTTATTTAATGAAAACCTAAAAATTACAACTGTTTGCGCATTATTTGCTGCACTAATGTTGCCCTCATGAAGTCCGTCTCGAATCTTTTAATACTGTCATCATAGGACATCTTTTCAACTCCTTCCTTGCAATATTCGTAACGGTGTATCGAAACTGACGCCTTCTCGATGCCCTGTGTACTGACTACATCAGTGCTCTTCTTAACAATATTCCTATAAATAACTTTACTTTCAGTCTTTTCTTCTTGAACAGATTGCAAATTCTGCAAGGCAATTGGTTGCTGCGGATTCTCGTAGTTCAAGCAGAACTTCTGAACAGCAACTTTGAGTTGATCACTTGGAAAATCAGTTAGAACTTGGTCTAAATGCAGGTGTGTGTAAGGCACTAAATATTCATTAACTTTCAGCGTTATTACGTGTCTGGACTGGTTCATTGTGCGCAGCAGGCAATCATTCTCTACAATTGTACTGCTCAAAGTGGACAAATCATTGCCAAAGTTCCATTGATAGAAGGTAATGTTAATGTTCAGTCTGCTCGAGAAATTTTCTATGAATTTTGTAAATCTGTAAGGTAAATCTGTGTAGACAATAAAAGTTTGTATTCCAATGAGATTATGGAAACTCAGGAATTCAGAGAACTTCCTTTTGTTCATGTCATTGCTTGGAGGTACACAGACTGTTGTACTAAAGTTAACTGATATTCTATCAGATTTGATGAGGTGTTTTTTCAGGTTCCTTTTATTGTTCTTTGAATAGCTTACAGCATATGGCACTCGCTTATCAGTTGTAGAGCACAGATAGAAATAAACTGATGTCGCAGCATCTTCATCTTTTTGTATTTGTGTCAGCCTCATTTTGCTGACTACAGGTACATCTTGGTCTTCATACCAAAGGAAACAGCTTCTGGCATGGTTGACTTTATCTGATACTGCCACAATTGACTTCACCTCATTGCTTGACCAGAAGCTGGAGAATACTTGTATATTCTCATCTTCAGTCCAAATGGGATTTGGACCCCAGTCATAATGGTTCACAACTCGATTCGATTCCAGCAGATCGGTCAGGTTACATGGCTGGCCAAAGAAATTGAACACTTCCAGAACTGTGTGCAATTTATTGTACTCATGTCTGTACAATAGGAGCAGACTTAAACTTACTATGGACAGTAATACCAATAGCAATTGTTTATATTTACGCATTGTTTCTGTTGCATAGATACATGTACATTATTAATAACTGTTAGGTTATATTTACATTGGTAACAAGACAATTGTAACTAGCAAGTTTAATGGGTTGCATATAAAGAAAATGAAACAAGATTAATTTACCAAGTATAGTGGGTGATCGCTTAAAGCTGCCTTTACCAAACTGTGAGGCGTGGACTAGTCTAAGGGTAGGCGCGAATACATTCCTGTGCTCTTATCCATATTGCTGTAATACGCGTTCAAAGTTGAAAAATGAAATTAGAACGTTCGAAAAGCAGTTTATTGATTTACTCGAAAACTATAATAAATAGGATGAATTCAAAAGATGCATATGAAAGATGAATGTTTGGGGAATCTAG